ATTTTGTTCTTTTTAATAAAGGTCATCCTGTTTGCTCTGTAGAGAGGAACTACAGGAAGAGTGAAATTAGAACAGTTGGGAAACTATTGCCGTAGTCCAAGGAAAAAACAACTTCCAAGTAAAGTTGGTGAGAAAGGTTCAGACTCGGAGTGACATTCAGGAACAGAGGGTGAGGGAACTTAGTGGACTGAATGTGGGACACAAGAGAAAGAGGAGGTCAGGGCTGCATCTCAGGATTGTGCTTTGTGAAATGCGGTGCAGAGCAATGTCACTTTTTTTTCTAAGATGAAAAAGACTAAGAAGAACAGATTTTTATTTTACAAGGGCACATATCAAGTTATGTCTTTGAGCTTTCTGCTTTGAGCTGTCTCTTAGCTATCAAATGGGGCATGAAATAAACCATGGGTTGTAGGAGTTCTAACATCTACTTAGGACTTCATAACTCCAATGTTCTAGTCTCGCTTTCTGGCTATTTCCTGGTGTCCTTAGGCAACTCATACATTCTGACCCTAAATTTCCCAACAAGTAACTGTGTCCTAAAGAGATACATGACTTCCTGATGCGATAGCCTAGTGGCTAGAGTCCTCACCTTGCCTACGTGAGAATCCCATATGGGCACCGGTTCATATCTTGGTTGCTCCACTTCCTGTCCAGCTCCCTGCCTGTGACTTGGGCAAGTAGCAGAGGACGGCTCAAGCTTTGGAACTCTGCATCTGAGTGGGAGACTCAGAAGAAGCTCTTGGCTCTTGTTTTCAGATTGGCTCAGCTCCAGCTGTTACAACCATTTAGGGAGTGAACAAGAGATGGAAGATCTTCCTTTCTGGAAGTCTCCCTTTCCAATAAAAATAGAAGAAATCTTTTTTAAAAAAAGAGAGTCATATGATTTGCTCAAGGCCTCACAATCACTTTGAAAGAGCAGAACTTGAACCCAGGTTTTCTGTCAACTTATACATGATCTTGAAGAGCACTGCCCACTCCACTCACTCCTGCTTTACTTCACTCAAAAGGAGTTGTAGGGTTAAATGTCTCATCATTGAAGCAGGGCATGGGTCTTAAGCGCTCAAAGCATAATCCATGACTTAATTATTATCTGTTCCATCAACATGGTATCCACAGCCATTTCTGACTATTTAAATAAAATAAAATTGAAATTTACTTTATTTACACTAGTCAGAAGTTGAAGTTCTCAGTGGCTCCTGTGACTAAATAGTCACGTACATGACTAATGTCATTCTGTGTACATACCGTATTGGGTAACACAGCATTTTCAGTGTCTCTGGAATTGATGCTTAACAATTCTGGGATCTGGATAAATCAAACTAAATCTGAACTTGTTCTTCAGTTATAAGAATTTGCGCAGCATGCATAGCTAAAAGGAGTTACCTTCTTTGAAAGCGGTGCGTTTCATAGTAAAGTGATTGTAGGCCCAACATTCTGAGCACATCTTCTCAAATCCCACCCTTGAATATTGTCATTTTGTAAGAATAGCAGTGCCTTTGAGTTGGTGGCTGGGTTACTGTCATCTTTGCATTTCCCTCACATGCATACAACATACAGGCATACATACAGTCCATGTCCCCTTCCAACCTTCTCTGACCTTCACATATACGTGCTCTCAAGGCCCAAGGATTTGTATCAAATAACCATAAATATCTGTTTCTCAAATGACTTAGCACATCAGAATGGTTCCTAAGACTGCTGTGCAGGATTGGCCACAGGAAGGACCTATCAAAAAGAGCATATACAACCCTGGAGATTTTCAGCTGAAGCAATTGCACAGCCTACACTTTTATCCATCCTTCCCTTCCTAGCAGTGAGCATGCTAGGTTCCTAGTCCTCCAAAATTTAACTGGAAACTTAGGGTGCTTAACCCCAAAGAACAGATATGTGTTAAGGCCTTAACAGATCTGGAGAGACCCCGTCACTTGCCCATACCCACAGGCTCTCCTCACAAACAGGTCGAAGAGATGAAACAGGATATGCATGGGTTAGAACAACTCCTCGATGCTTGATAGTTGTGTGACTTTGGGACATTTTGCAAACCTTACCAAGGAACAGGATGAGGTAGAGGCATGATCTCAGACTTGATCCTCCACCAATTCACCGATTGCTTCACCTCGTGGGGAAAGTCAGCACAAACTGGGAGCAGAAATGTGTTCTCTTTTGAATTTTTCTTTTTTTTTTTAAATGTAACTACCTGAGTCTTTTTTTTTAAGTGGTGCTTACTCATGCTAAAAATTTCCTAAGCATGTGTAAGGACATTTTCCTTCTTAGTTTCTAAGCCACACTGGTTCTCCATAGAGGCAACTAGTAGCTCCAGATGTGAATACAACCTTCCATAGCTAGTCTCTGCATTCACAAGCAGATTGTATGTCAATACATTTATGCCAATATGTCTCCATATACAGATGTTTTCCTGTGACACAAGTTGTTGTTTCGAACCTTGTTTTGTCGTTGGGCTATCTTGTAGGTTTCATATAGCCACGCTCAGCACCCTTCATCTCTTTACAGCTTCAGACTATTCTCTAAGGTTGGATCAGAACTTGCTTAAAATACCCCCCAGTTATTTCTAGTCTCTTGCTACTATAAATCATTCTGCAATGAACATTCTTGTACATCTTTCACCTTGCACGTGGATAAGTGTATTTGTAGAATAGACTCCAAAAAAAAAATCGCCGGGTTCAAAGGTAAGTTATAAGGGTGTGACCTGGTTAGATAGAACTCATAGAGTTTGTACCAGTTTTCTATCAATATATAGAAGTAGAACTGAGTTTCTAAGCCTAAGTGAGAGCCTAAGACTTGCTCTAACCTAAGAATGGCTCTAGGTACCTTACCTCCGCTCTGACACTCATCTGTAAAATGTGCTTGGTAAGAGCTTAGCTCATGGGTGACTGGAAGGATTGAATGCGTATTTACAGAGTGTGGAGCAGTGCGCAGCACCTGTTCTTGTAAGTTTGCTTCCAATGCAAGATCTTCAGGCTCCAGGTACAACATGGATATAAGGAAGGAGAAAATCGCATGTTTCAGCTTGTCTGTGGTACTTATTAGAGGGAAGAATTACATGCACAGAGGAACTGTAATGTGATGCCATAAAAAGAGAGGAAAGCAGAAAGCCGTTTAATGGAGGAGGGACATGGGTGTTTAGCCTCGAATTGTGTCGTCAGGCATGGCTGCGTTTATCAGCATTCTGAAATTGTGAATCAAAATGGGCTTTTTTATTTGTTCTCTAGTTCTTTATGACACCTTTATTTGGTATTAAAACGTAATGGCCCGTCTCAAATACAGCGAGAAAGCAAAAGGATGAAACAAAAAGAACTGCATTCATTGTAACTGTGTTTTTTCCTCTTCCTCCTTGGTGCCATGAAATATTTTCAGAAAACCTAGGAAGCAATGTAAGGCAAATGCTGAAGCTGCTTCTTTTACCCAAGGAGCCTTTCTCTGATCCACCAAGCTGAATTACTTCTTTTTTTCTGAGAACAGTATTCTATGAAAGAGTCTGAAAGAAGGAAAAATGAGAGGAAAATTCTTCTTAAGGGAATCTGTTCCTATGATTTACTTGTTATGCCTGTGTTCCTCTCCTTTATATGCTGTCCAGGACTCATCTGCCAAAAGCTGTTTCCACACCAAACGCAGCACTTGAACCACTGTTCTCCTGGGACACTTTGACTCTTCCCCTCTTCCTTTGAGCAACTAAGAGCCCTGTCTTTTAAGAAACACAAATAATAGCAGTTTCTCCAATATTGGTCCCCTCAGCTGTCAGGTACCCACAAACCCATCATTCAGTGCATTCTAAGACTCCAAAAGTTCAGACTCAGTCTTTATCCTCAATGAGTTTAATCTTAAGTGGGAGGAAATATATGAAAAGTTGATGCCACATGATCACACACTGCCCACCTTTCCCATGAGATTGTGTATGTCTCAAGAACAGGGACTTAACTGTTATGTTTTGCCTTATTGCAGTCAGTACTTTACAAGGCAAGGAAATGTCTATAAACTAATAGGAGACAACACCAAATAATCAGGAAATTGATGTGGTTTCACTCCAAGAAATAGTATAGGAGAGGAGAAGTTTGGGGAGATGGCAATGCAGTTGAGATGGAGAGAGATACTGGAGCTGTTTTGGAGGTGATGGTTAATAATATTTACTTGCCTTTGTTGCTGTTTATAACTTATAGGAGGCATCCAATTAAAGTTCACTGAGTTGACAAATCTTATCATTTATGAAGCAATTGTGCTTAAAATCTCATGTTTCACCATTTGTCACATTTCTGAGAAGAGAAGGTACAATCATGTCATGATGCATTTTTTGGCCTTGGATGCTCTGTTACCTGCTCACCTTTTATTAGGATAGGAACACCAGCTGGAAAGCCCAGTGTGGTGGGGTATGGATGTGGATATATACAGGCCTGTGCATGCATGCACATATATGCACACAGCTCTTACTGAGTCTGCTGATTGCCTGGACCATTGACGGAGAGAAAAATCCATTCATCCAGGAATGATCATGGGAAAAGGAGGGCTAGAGTCTGGATCCTCACGTTACCCCTGAGCCAGTCCAGAGGTTATTGCCAAAATCAACCACTCTTCCAGTTTCAGATCTTAACACTGGGAAGCTATGTGATTATGAATCGGGGAGTGGGGAATAGGGATAAAGAGAGGAGAGAAAAACAAAATGAAATTGCAGTTGGATTTGTCTAACACTGTCCCTGAGAAAACACAGTGAGAACTAGATCTGCTGTGACTTGGCTTTGAAGCTTGTTAGTCATGTTTACCTCCGGCTGCCTCCACACATGATGGTGTTAATGTTCAACACTCCAAGAACCAAAGTGACTCAACCCTGTGAGCTACTGCTCTGCTTATGGCATCTGGGTAATATGCTGTTCCATGCACTTCCTCTATGATTGTTCTAAAATATCTCCATCTAAGCAACACCAAATAATGACAAAGATTTGCTTCACCTCAGTTCATTCTCAATTTGTGTTTTCGTTGTGTGTGTGTAGCTTCATCATACACAACAAGGATACTTTCTTCAACAATGCCACAAGAAGTAGAATCGTACATCATATATTACAAAGAATAAAGTATGAAGAAGGAAAAAACAAAATTGGTAAGTAGCCTGTTAATACTAAGACTAAATCTGGCATTTGGGGACTACAGATGTTTTCCTATGTTTTATCAAGTTTCTGTCAATTCTAGAAATGCTTGTTTGATTTATTACACCTGTGACTCCCTTAATGCATAGCACACAAGTGTAAAATCTTGATAATGTCCTTAAATGTGAGAGTGTGTCACAAAGCCCAAGGAAAATAAAATTAAAACGTTATTTTGCTGCAAAAATTTTTGTGATGCTTGCATAGGTTTTTTATAATACACATTTTCATAGACTTCTTAAAGATTTTTTCCAGTGCATAAATTTCAAAATATTTTTGCTAAAATTAGTCTATTCTTTACAGACTTTCTACTCTCCATAGACTTTTTGGAAATATCCTGGTATGTCCTGTAAAAGTTTGTCATTTCACTTATCCAGGCCCATGGAAAAATGCTCTCGATTCTCAAAATATTTCTGGAGTGTCCATTGTGTGCCAGACACTGAGCTGGGTAAATAATTACAGTCCTCTAGAGCCAAAAACTTACATTCAAAAAGTCAGTGGCAGCAGTAAACAAATAAGTGCCATGAAGAAATGAATTGGGTGATGGTTCGGGTATGGACTGTCAGAGGATGAGACTGAATTCGTGCCAGCCGAGGCTGGTAATCAGGGAAGGCTTGGCTGAAAAGTTGAAATTTTTACTGAGACCTGAATGATGAAAAGCCAGAATGGAAACACCCAAGAGTAGGGGAGGAGGGAGCTGCATTTGGGGATGAGCTGACATGCTTAACTTTCCTTAGAGTTCTCTCCCACATTAAACAGCTTCCACAGTTTATATTTTAGGCATTTCTGCGAAGAACCTTTCAATGTTTTGTGACCAGGTATTAAATAGGTTATTATATATCGGAATGGTTTGGATGGATTTGCTGCAATCACAATCTTAAAGATCTATTTTCAAGCTTGAGCAATGAACTTATCACTCAGGGTTTTAACAGGAGACAAAAGCATACGTAATTCAAATAGAGAAACTTTTTTTTGAAAGATTTATTTCTTTTTATGACAAAGTCAGATATACAGAGAGGAGGAGAGGCAGAGAGGAAGATCTTCCATCCAATGATTCACTCCCCAAGCGAGCGCAATGGCCGGTGCTATGCCGATCTGAAGCCAGGAGCCAGGAACTTCCTCCAGGTCTCTCACACGGGTGCAGGGTCCCAAGGCTTTGGGCTGTCCTCAACTGCTTTCCCAGGCCACAAGCAGGGAGCTGGATGGGAAATGGAGCTGCCAGTATTAGAACTGGCACCCATATGGGATCCCGGCATGTTCAAGGCGACGACTTCAGCCACTAGGCCATGGCACCGGGCCCCAAATAGAGAAACTTTAATATGAATAATGGACTATGACGTAGAATTGGAGTAATGGAAGCTTGGCAAGTTAAGGCTAAAAATTCTAACAAATAAAAGAATTGCAGGTACTGGGTGCAGCCAGCAAGCCTTAGGAAGACTCGCTCAAAACTAAGATGCAGATCCTATTGGAAGGGATGAAATGATGGCAGAGTACTCAGCTGGGAACTCATTCAGAATTTGCCTTTTTGAAAGGGCTTCAAGGAAGTACTCTACCAACAGCACTACTCTGTGGAGCGCTCCTCAAGGGGATACCGAGATATGTGACCTTGTGAAAGTACAGGCACACCCACACTATCAGGGTGGGAGATTGTAGACACCCAGTATCCTTGCAGTGCCAACTACTGACATTTTAGCATTGTACCATCTGCTAAAGGATTGCAAATCTGGCAGTGAATGTGCATTCGGAGCTATGGAACAATAGATTGATAACTGACACAGAGCTAAATAATCTCAGCAAATTTCCAGGGGCAAGGCTGGAGGGATGGATGGTTTTAACCGCTGGACTAAAGAGCCTGAGATAGCTGGAAATCTCCACATATCCGGCAAGATGCCATTGAATAATTTTAAAAACTACACACTCAAATTCAACAAAACAACTACCTCAGTGCAGTGTGGGAGAAATATTACTCAACAGCATCTATGAGAGGCAGAGATCTGAGACCTGAACTGAATGCAGATCAGTGTGAGTCACTGGTATAATGAGGCTGCCCACAAAAAAAAAAAAAAGCCTTGATTCTGAACTGCATAAATTAAAGTATGATCAGGGACATAGACAGCTGCTCAGCCCAGATCGGAGTACACCGGGAAGGTTATGTTCAGTGACAGTAAGTGTGGCTGGCTATGGTGCAACTAACCCGATTTGAGTATTTATTTGATGGAGTTGTAAATTGAACACATCCAATGTTTCCTGCAGTCATCAGTCGTACCTGAGACACCCCTTTCCATCAAGTCCTCCATGACAGTTCCAACCTAAAGAAACCCTTTCCTTTTTGGAATTCTTATGGCAATTATTTTCAGAGTGTTTATTGGATAATTAAATTCCTCACAACTCTTATTATTATCTTGGATTATGTATATTCAATGGCATTATTAAAACTTACTGTCTAAAGAGAAACCACTGTTAATGTTTTGCTATAAATAATTTAATATTATCTTTATTATTTTGTCCCATATTAAATCCTTATTCGTATGATTTTACCAGACCTGAGGTGTTCTGGAAATACCTTTTGTCCCGTACTTTTTCAGTTCACATTGAATCATAAGCACAGTAGATAACAAGTTAGTGAAAGTAAAGTTACAGCAATAGTCTTTCTGGATTATTTCATTAAAATAAAATTGCTAAAAGAACATTTTCTTCATTAATCAGGCTACTATCATTTTTAGCATACCTCACAACTCAGTCATAACCCACTAAACTGTTGAGAATTTGCCACTGAAAACTGCTGGTTTAGGTAGTAAACTCCTTAACGTAAACAAGAACCTTATTCATCTTTACATCATCAGTACCTAGTGTAGTGTTTGTATTTAAGTGAAAGTTCAGTAAGCACATGTTCAACTGAATTAAAGATCTTCTAAACATGATGTCTCATCATCAACATCCTTACACAATCGAAAGTTGCACAGTGAACCCATGTCATGATTGTTCTTAATTTCTGTATCTCAGTATGTGGGCTGTTTTTACAACTTGGCAGGAGGAGACAAAGACAGACAGTGGAGTGTTTCATATGTTATAAAGGAGCCCAGGAATCCAGTACTGTTGCTAGTCAGAAGGAGTCTTTGTAAAATATTCTCCAAATGATCAAGGAAGGAGTGTTGTGCTGAAGACCTTCAGCACTTTAGAAATTGGTAATTATAAACTTCAAATGTGTATGATTAGGAGTAACCAATCACAGACCAAATTATTGGCACAGCATCAGGTATCATGCAGAAAAACAGAGAATTACAAATAGTCTGTTGACCCGATATGTTGTTATATTTGGTTACTTAAATAAAATGTGTTAGGAGAAAATTAATTTCTATATAGAACCAGTGCTTATCTGATGTTATTTTCAGCCTCTGAAAATAACTTGCTCTGAAAGTTTCTTGCATGAGCCAACACTGATGAGAAGTAACACAAAAATATTGATTTGTAGACATGATTTATATGGGTATTTTAGTGAAGTGTACACCAATAAGGTTTTCAACTCCACTCTGAATTTATTAAAACAGTGACAGTCAAACTTGGTTAAAATCACTTTCAAAATACCAGCAATTAATAGTTCAATAAAGACTTATTTAACAATGGCTGCGGGCCCGGCGCGGTGGCGCAAGTGGTTAAAGGTCCTCGCCTTGCACCCCCGGGATCCCATATGGGCGCCGGTTCTAATCCCGGCAGCCCCGCTTCCCTTCCAGCTCCCTGCCTGTGGCCTGGGAAAGCAGTCGAGGACAGCCCAAAGCTTTGGGACCCTGCACCCGCGTGGGAGACCCGGAAGAGGCTCCTGGCTTCGGATCAGCATAGTATCGGCCCGTTGCGCTCACTTGGGGAGTGAATCATCGGACGGAAGATCTTCCTCTCTGTCTCTCCTCTCTGTATATCCGCCTTTCCAATGAAAAAATAATAAAAATAAATCTTTAAAAAAAAAATAAAAAAAAAAAAACAATGGCTGCACACAGTAAATCTTAAAATTGATTTATATCAGTTCCTCTTCACATTTAGGACTTTGGCAAATTATGATAGATTTCAAAACTCATCATCTGATTCTGTTATGAGGTTCCTATGAATCTGATTTTTTCCCTAGCTTCTGGGATGTCTGAAGATATAATTAATGTGATGTGTGGTATTCTCAGTAGAGACTCCAGCCTTATAATAATTAATGTTTTATTCATTTCTCAGGAAGGTATTTATTGAGGCTCTCATTGTGCTAGACAAGCTACCAAGCCCTAAGGATATTTGTATTTCAAATGTTTGTCTTCAATATTTAGTGTTAAGTCAAGCAACTTAGACACATTAATATGTTACTTTGATTAAAAGTACTTAAACATTTATTGATCCTCAATCATTAAAAAATGGATCAGTTTCTATGTCATTTTTAACTTAGGCTAAGTCCCTGTTGTTGTTTTTTAGCAGAATCTAAAGTGTAAAATGCATTCGTCTTATAAATCATCTAACCGAATCATCACCTTTGAGAATTATTTCAAGAAATAGCATCAGTCGTGATATGCAAAGTAACTATAGTCAACACATTAAAATTCCATTTCTGGACAGCTGGAGTAACTAACAATCACAAAATTTACTCCCCTCAGTGAAATAATCCAAAAAGGAAAAATCAGTACAATGTGTGGAACAACCATTTTTAAGACATTGAACATTGGGCAACCCAAAACAGGGATCATGAAAGACAGAGAATAAATTAGAATATTCCTGTAGTTGCTCCATCTTACTTCCTTGAAGGTAAGAGGAGTCTCTGAGTTGTAAAGGAAGACCCAGGAAACCAGAAATCCCAGAACAAAGTAGCAGAAAATAGAGAGCTAAACTTTGAAAAAAGCTGCATGTGATTATCCTGTAGTGTTCAGTGAGTGCTGTTCATTGTGCATGTCAGGAAACCATCAAAGTCAAAGAAAGAACCGTAGGAAAAGATTTCCAGTGGTGCTGGAGCTCATCATAATAGACAATGAGTAGAGACTTAGACAGGCTTTCCTTAGCCTTAGAATCAAAAAAAAAATACCTACCATAGGTAGAAGGACCCAAACAAATCCCATTTTTTTCAGTATCTTACAGTCTCCTAGAGTGAATTTCAAGAATATATAAAATTGTATATAGATCAACTAAATGGGAAAAATCACCATGTTTGATATCTAACCAATATTACCAGGCATACAAAAAGAGAAAAACTGTGACTCACAAAGGGAGTAAAATTGATCCATCAAAAACCTACCCAGAATATTTTCAGATGTTAGACATGGCAAACATGAATATGAATTTGGTTAATATTTGAATTACTAAAGACTGAGAATTTTCCCACTTCAGAGAAAACCCACAGACCCAATAAATTCAATGAGCAATAAGTGTAAGAAAATGAAGACATTAAATAAAGGCATGCATAATTCGTTTAGTCAGAATCTATAGATAGATTTGTGTAAAAATGGATTTCAGACCAAAGAGCACTTCAGGAGTAAGCACCATTTTGTAATGATAAAGGGGTTAATTCATCTTGAGGCTGTAACAATCCTAAACCTTAGTGCCCTCAAATGCAGAGCTCCAAATTATATGAAGGTATATCTAGTTGAATTGCCATAACAAATAGACACATTCACAATCCTAATCAAAAATTCCAATACCACTTTCTCAGCAGTTAATTGAATAAGTAGACAAAAAAATCAGATTTAAAAAGTTATGTACAGCATTATTAATTAAGTTGATCTAATTGACATTTTAGACCACTCCAGTGAACACCAGAAACAGGAAACTCTGTTGAGAAACAACATTTAGGAACAAAACCAAAACAAAACAAAAAACAATAAGTTTAAAAGGATTCAGGTTATGGAAATTTTTTTTCCCTACAGTATTATTACACTTGAGTCAGTAAGCAGAAGGATTCTGGGAGTTTCAGGATGATTAATTACTGTGGTGATAAGTAATTCGTTGGCAAAAAAAATCAAAAAAAAACAAAATAGAAAGTGTACTGAATGAAAACAAAGTACAAAATACCAAAAGGTGTGCAGAGCTGTTGTAGTAGTTAGAAATTTATACCATGGTATTTGAATATGAAAAAAACAGTGTCTCAAATTAATGACCTTTTCACCTTAAGAAACGAGGAGAGGAAAATGAATTAATTTGAAAGTTTGTAGACTAAAAGAAGTAATTTTTTAATTAGACCAGAAGCACAGCAGAATTCACCATTATAACACTCTGAAACCGAACAAAAACACATCATGAGTTTTGTATGCACATGGAAAGGGTATCTGACAAAGTCCAACATCTATTATCATAAAATGTCAGCAAACTATGAGTAAAAGCTATCTTTGTCAACCTCATTTTCTACGAAATAGTTACAGTTGACATATTTAATAGTGAAAGCATACTTTCACCAAAGATAAATAAGACAATACAAGGGTGCTTCCAAATAATTATGTGAATTGTGAAAAGTGAATTTTTTAATGTGTACTTGGATCATCCTATTTTTGTATTATATATGTAAGTGGTTTCTTATTTCATTTTTAAAAAAGATTTGTTTATTATTATTGGGAAGGTAGACTTAGAGAGTAGAGACACAAAAACCTTCTGTCCTTTGGTTCACTTTCCAAGTGGCCACAATGGCTGGAGCTAAGCTGAAGCCAAGCTAAGCTAAGCTAGGCTGAAGCCAAGAGCGAAGAATTCTTCCACATCTCCCATGCAGGCACAGGGTCTCAAGGCTTTGGACCATGCTCTATTGCTTTCCCAGGCTACAAGCAGGGAACTGGATCAGAAGTGAAGATGCTGGGACATGAACTGGCACCCATATGGAATGTTGGCACTTGAAGGTATAGGATTAGCCAGTTGAGCTATCGCAGCAGCACCTCCTGTTTGATTTTTGAAGACCGCTTGTGTGCATGTGTTTCAGAAACTTTTCACACCCAAAATAAGCTTTTCTTTTGAAATCCATTTTCCAGGTTAAGAATGTTTTACTGCTGTAGTTTTAATGATCTATGATCTCTTTAAAATTTTACTATACATGTGTGAAATGATAATTTTTCCATTCAATTATTGTTTGTGATCATTGTATTCCCACTAAACTAAGGTCTTTATGCTTTTTACTTGTTAAACTTATTCAGTGATTAAAAAAAGAACAAGAGTTTGAATTTTCAAGAACTTTTTGAAACTTCTTTATATGCTCACTGTTAAGATTTGCATGATCTTACTAACCACTTACAAGAAAAAAAGGCATGCATATTTAAAAAGACATAAAGCTGTCCTAATTATCAATCTGATTTCCGTGTAGAAATTTAATGGACTCTACAAAATGGTTACTAGAACTAATAAGTGAATTTAATCTGGTTCACAAGAGGTAAAATTGATATATTAAGTCGATTTTACCTTCATAAACCAGCAATAAACAGATGTTAAGAACGGTATCATTTGTAATGCCATCAAAAACATGGAAAGTGTAGGGATAATTGTGAACAAGCTAAGACTTATGCAAAACAATTTTGTAATCTGCAAACTATGAGCCATTGCTGGGAGAAATTTATGAATATCTTAAGAATAAACAAATTGAAATACAGTCTGTTCATGGCACAGAAGATTTAGTATTTTTAAAATACCAGTGTTCTTCAAGTATATGTAAAGGTTAAATGCATTTCTAATCCAATTTCCAAAAGAAAGAGGCAGAGTGTGTGTGTGTGTCTGTAAAAACTGCTCAAAAATTCGTAAGAATGATATAGAATAGCTAAAACAGCTTTGGAAAATAGCAGACTAGAGAGTGAATACTGCCTGCTTTCAAGAATTCTTGTGAAGCAAATGAAATCAATACATGTAGTCTTGATCTAATAATAGACAAATACATCAGTGGAACAAGATGGAGAACCCAGTAGTAAATAGATCCACACATAAAAATTGATTTTTAATGAAAACTCAACTGTAAAGAAAGGACTGATTTTTTTAAAACAAATGATGCTGGAATAATGCATATGTGAGCAATTAACATATACTCACATACAAAAGATAATTAGATGGAGAGTAAGCCTAAACATAAAACTTATTACAAAGAACCTAGGAGAAAATCTTTATGACTTTGGGTTAGTCAACATATGACCCTAAAAGTACAACCCATAAAAGAAAAAAATACATTGGACTTCATCACAATTAAAACTTCATTCTTGAAAGATATATTTAAGAGAATGGAAAAAGAAGCCATATACTAGGACAAACAAATTTCCAGAAACTATGTCTAACAAAGGATCTACATCTAAAATATACAAGGTAATTCCAAAAGCTCATGAAATGTGTATTATTTTAAGAACTGCAGGTGGGTTTTAAATTTTTTTTTGCAACAAATAAGCTTAATTTTATTTATATGTAAACTTCATAAAGCAGCCTCATATATAAAGAAAACTGAAAACTTGCTAGTTAAAAATATTCTCAATAGACAAAAAATTTGAACAGACGTTTCACAGAAGAAGATATAACATGACGAATAAACACAAAAAATTTTTACTGCCATTAATCACTAGGGAAATACAAATGAAAAGCACAAGGAGGTGTAACAGAATATACCAAGTGTTGAAGATAATGTTGAGAATGTGGAGAAGGAAAATCCTTGTAAATTGTTGGTGATGAAAATGGTGTATAGAGTTAGTTCAGCATGATGGTTCCAGGACTAAATCCTCTCCTTACAAGCGCTGGGATCCCCTATGGGCACCTGTTCATGTCCCAGCTGCTCTGCTTCCCATCCAACTACCTTCTTGTGGCGCTGGAAAACAGTAGAGGGTGGCCCAAAGCCCTGGGACCCTGCACATGTGTGAGACCCTGAAGAAGCTCTTGGCTCCTGGCTTTGAGGAGCCAGCTGGGTTACAATCACTTGGGGAGTTTACCAGCAGATGAGAGATCTTTCTCTCTGTCTCTTCTGTCTGTAAATCTAATCTGTCTTTCCAATAAAAATAAACCTTAAAAAAAACTAGCATATACTCATCATGTAAAATAATGACTCAAAAATAGATTTATTTTATAATCTAGCAGTTCCACAACAGGGTACACATTCAAGAGAAATGAAATCAGTATCTTGAAGGATGTCCACACTCCCATGTTCATTGCAACAGTATTCACAGTAGTCAAGTCCAAAATATAAGAAATAGCTTTCCACTGAGTGATGAATGGATAAAGAAATTATGATACATATATGCGGTAAAGTATTAATAGCCACAGAAAAGAAGAAAACCCTAGGAGATTTTGTAACAGCATGGATGGACTAGAAGGACACCAGACTGAATTAAATTAGTCAGATACAAAAAGACAAAAAAATTAATGTGTAGAGTCTTTAAAAATTGAATTTTAGAAGCAGAGAGAAGAGTGATGGTTACTGCATGCTGCAGGGTAAAGGAAGTAGACAGATGTTGGTGGAAGGGTGGGACATTTCAGTGATGAAGTAAGTTCTTGAGACTCAATGTGCTATTTGGGTGCTGATGGTGTCGTCTTTATCTGGACAGTGATAGTCATCACACAGTGTATGTCAAGTCATCCCATGGTACATCTTGTATGTAGTCAGTCTTTAATTGTTAGATTTTTTTTTAAATGAAGGGAAAAAAAAAGATCCTGATTTTCAGTCAGATAGAAAGGCTTTCTTTCTAAACTGTTGATGTCCTCATGTGGATCTGAATCACTTTTTAAAGCCTGGATCCCTTTATTCCAAAAATGACTGCCTTACATTAGCTTCAAGCCTAAAGTTTCCAATTCAGTATCACTGGAATGCACTGACTTGTTCTTGTAGGTCTGAATCGGCTGCTCACCAATGGCTCCTATGAAGCTGCATTTCCCTTGCACGAGGTATTGTACTGACTTCTTATCTTTCTTGCAACTTTTTATGGAAAAAAATCATCTTCTAGGGATAGTTGTTCATTAAATTTGTGGAAACTGTTCAGCGTGCACTTCATTTCTTCAGTAGGTCATTAGAGAGGGTCTACTTTCTTATATTCCCCCCATATTGATTTATGTCTCTATCTTTTTATTAAAGTATTTGCAAGGATACTTGAATGAAGAGTCATTCATGAGTTCAGAGGAATAGCTTAAGGAAGCTTAAGTTGTAAAATCAGAAAGCGATTGAAATTTTACATGAGGCACCAGAAACAAAAGGAAAATTTTCTTGGAAGAAAGTCTTAGCCCAAAACAAATTTAAAGCTAGTCCTTGAAAGCGTGGGAAGAACTCATGTTATACAATCTCCGATTAGTCAAAGGATGATGTGTGGAAATCAATAGTATCATATTCACCATTATAAGATTATAAATGTTAATATTCTCCTCGTTTCCCATGTGGTCTTTGTCATGAATAATGTCTTCATAGGCATAACTATGATTACACCTTTTTCCCCACTAAATCTTAGAACAGTTTAAGGTAGTAGTCTCCCATGCATAGGTTTTCAGAATCATAAACCTCATATTTATTTGGAGTTTATTGTTCTTTTCATGGTTCGGAGTCACCGACCCCTCATCAGTTGCGGCATGGTACATGAACTACAGTGGTACCTGCCCTCTGGGATTCCGCGGTGCAGGCCACAGGGAGGCTGGCAGTGTGATTTTTAGTAAATTTCTCTTAGAATCAGTCCCAATAATTTCTTAGCAAACTTTGGAGAATATACATTTTTTTTCCAGCTTACAGTGTTTCTTTTCTTGGTTTTAAACACCAGGTAGAAGGTACAGCACAGCTCCTGAAGCCTTATTGAGAAAACTGAAAGCTGTGATCTGAGACTGTATTTACCGACTGTCCCGAAACATTTTTAGAATGCTCCTTTTAGAATAACAGAAGCACACGTTCTGACAGGAAGGTTTGCCAGAGCCATGCACAGGTGTTTCTGAACAGATTTCTTTCAAAGCATCATGTCGCTTCTTGCATTCGTTAGTCGGCTTTGCCCAGGAAGGCATTGCAGTGTATCCCACCATTCCCAGTTCTGCAGTGTCCGAGCTCTGGGAGCAGAGTGGGTGGACAGGCAGCAGAGGGTGGAACAGTCACAGCTAATGAGACCCAAACAGAATACAGTCTTCTCTGTGACTTTCATATCTCAGTAAAGCCCTGTGTCCTACAAGAAGGAAATCATTTCCAAATTAGTAAGCAGCCAACAATAAAAATACCATGGCTCTTTTAGCTTTTTATTCTCAGCTTAACCTGATTATGTTATTGAACCTCATAACAACATTTGGAGGCAGGAATGGCAGTTATTGCTGCTTTTGTTTCATGTTAATTTAAATGGGGATTTAGAAAAAGGTTAAGGCTACTCTATATCACACCCTAAGTTGGTATTGAACCAAGACAATGCTGAGTTGTTTTTTTTTTTTAACCTACTAACCTGCAAAAAATACTCACCTCTCAGACTTTGATTTGTTTGATGAGGTGTTTGAATTAAACTTCACTTACTGGAATTCTGCAGTGACTTCCAACTTTCGTCTTCCAGGATTTTCTTGTAGTTGAGGATATGTGTAAAGGTTACAGCTGTAAGCTAATCAGCGATTATCTTGTGAGAGAAGTAGGGTCTAGACTGTGTGCCAAGCACTTGATTCATCCAAAGCGGGGAAGAAAATAATGAGACAGGTAATATTAGTTCCGTTATGGATTGGGAAACCAAGGCTTGAACATTGAGGAGGTTTGCCAAAGATTTCCTGGCTCAAAGCAGTAGAACCAGATTTGAGCTGAATTCAAACTTAGCTGATTCTAGCAACCTTGAGTGTTTTTTTGTTTGTTTGTTTACTAGATAAGATTAGAAAAGACATCGTCCAGAATAACACAGCAAACTACCTTTCCTTTAATAGGAAAAAAAAATTACTTTTCTTGCGTTATCATCCCTATTGCTACTGTGTCATAAGAGACTGATATTGGCAGCAGCATTCCCTTATATTCTTTGTGGTTACTACCTCACTGGCAGTGGTATTTTTATCCCAGGGGAGTTACAGAAGTAAAAACTCCATTCGAACCCACGGAGCAGTAAACCACCGACACCTGCTGTACGAGTGCTGGGCTTCCTGGGGCGTATGGTATAAATACCAGCCTTTGGACCTTGTGAGGTGAGTTATTAACCAGCTGAAAATGCAATACGTTTGCAGAGTGATGAGCACAGACTGTCAGCTGAGACAAGGCAGCAGTGGAGGGGGGGAAAAAGATGGTTAAGTTCATGGCTGTGGCTCAAATCTGACTTCTTCCCAAGAGAGCAGTTTATCAAAGGACATAGGTTGCTCTGTAGAAATCGATGCTCCCTCTTCTAAGAATAGTGTTTTCCTTCAAAACGGCCTTAGAGAGGGACCTGAAGGGACATAGGAGATCAGCCAGGCCTCCAGCAAAACTCAATAAAGAGCGGATCACCCAGATCATCTGTGTGGCTTACTGACAAGTTGTCCTAGGAGAAAGAGAACATTGCTTTACCTAGGTTGGTGACAAAATAATATATTATTTACCACAGGCCAGGCTGAGCTTCCCAAATCCAGAAAAATGCTACAAAATCTGAAACTTTTTGATCATACCAACATGATGCCCTAAGTAGAAAATTCCACTCCTGACCTCACATGACAGGTTGCAATCAAAATGCAGGTACACCAAAAATACTGTGTAAAATTACTTTCATCCTGTGTGGATATGACATATAAGACACATAAAGAAGTTTTGTGTTTTGGCTTGGCTCCTATCTATAGGACATCTCATTAAAGATATACAAATACTTAAAAAACAGAAATATATGCAAAGCCCAAACATTTCTGATCCCAAACTCATTGGATAAAGGGTCCTCAACCTGTCTTATGGAAATAGGAAATCTGTGATACTTTAAGTTCAATACATTTCAAGATTATTTTTATTTTTATTTAAAGCCAATAGCCATTAAAGATTATATTGATCAACAGATCACAAGTATAAACTTTTAATGCAGGATAACTGATGTTTCTTGGGCCATCCATCTCTTCCAAACTTGCTGCCATGGTAGCACTATGCCCTGGCACCTCATTATTTATATGGAGTCTGGTGATTAAGACTGGGTAGTAACAAACCACTCTTCATGGATTCCTCATTAAAGAGAAAGTTGTCCCTAATTTCCTAGACTAGCTGACTATATTTCACTTATATTCAGTTCCTAAAAAGTGAGCCCAGGAGGAAGAATCAAAAAGACAATTCACTTGAAATTTCCTTTCTGTGAGAAGTCGTGCTTCATAACAAAGCCCTTGTTATTTTGCTACCTGATCTTTACTTCAATGTTGCCAAGGGAGTGATGAATTATATGCCATTGATGATGGAGGTGACTAGAAAATATTCTCTGAGATCATTTTCCATAATCCAGACTCAAAGCATGATAAACAGTATGGAAATTTAAAAAAAAAATGCCTATCTTCCCAATCTCAGTCTCGAATGACAGAATTACACTGATTGGAAATTACAACCCATGGCTGTAGGCAAACTGCTTTCCATCCAGGACGGCGCTGATTAAAATTCTGTGGTTAGCCAACGAATATGAATTAATTATTCACTGCATTTGTCGTATGATGCTAAATACTATCAGAAACCATGATGTCTGGCTTTGAAAAAGTCAGTGTTTCCTCTGGAAAAGCAGATCCTGTATAATGGGGACAACTAGAAAGAAAAAAAAAAAATGAGTCACCAACATCCACAGCCTCTGAGTCAGCATCCTTGCGAGGTGTTTACAGACCTGAGCCCTGGATGAGCAGGGACCCTGGGGTTGGCCAGAAGAAGGGTAATGTGATGAAGCCTTGAGTAGCCAGACCTTTTAGAGCAGCTTAAGAATCTTTAGTCTTAAAACAGCAAAACTCTTTTCACTTCCTCCATATCTCAGTAATCTGACCACAGCCCAGTCTCCCAGTACCTGTTTGCCACTCTGGCTACCTTCACCTATTATTGGAATCATGACAGGTACCCCTGATGCAGTCTCCATGTTGATCCATTCCATTCATTCAGCCTTGTCTATGCATGTTCTTTTATGGAAAGGCTAATTCTATTCCCAGTATGGAAGAATAAGAGAAGAAAGCGAAGTCCATCACCTGATAGGATCAAAGGCTTCATTCCTTTACCTTATGTTGTATGCCTTTCACCGGAGATGCCACTGCAAAGTAAAATGGTTGCGCAGAGTATGATGGTATGCAACTGTACACATGTCACTGTCACTGTCGAGGCTGTTTTGTCTTAAACAGGCGGTACTTTGGAGAGAAGATTGGACTCTATTTTGCGTGGTTGGGCTGGTATACTGGCATGCTCTTCCCAGCTGCCTTCATTGGACTGTTCGTCTTTTTGTATGGAGTCACCACTCTGGATCACTGCCAAGTCAGGTACGGGGCTTTCCTGGGTGAGCCCACACCTTTGCTTAGGATTTCAAGATAGCTATTTACGCTGTACATGTGTTCACAGACCGTGACCACACTTGATATTAGCTTCCTTTCCCATCTGTCAAGGAAAATTCACTAGGTTCTCTCCATCTCCTGTTCTTGAGGCTGTGTTCTTCGGGTACCATGATGGCAAACGTTACCCTTACAGACATATGGAACACATCACTTTCATTCACTGGCTTTAAGGATGCTCTGTCTGCCTTTTTGAAATTCTCTTCCAATGATACTGTGCAATAGTGGTCTAATGATCCTTTTTCATGAACTGTGTATTTTTACAAAGGTCTTTAAACCTAAGCTAGAAATTTCACCATCTTGCTAGTACATTGGGAATGATTTAGTGTTTATGGTCTTTTTTGCCTTGATTCTCTCACCAGAATATAATTTTATGTATTTATATAAATTATATCACAAAGCTGGAAAATGATCTGAAATAATGAATGTGCCTCTCAAAAATTACAGAAATGAAAGGGAGTGACTGAGCCTCCCACATACAGAAGTATTTTACTTTCTGTAAAAGACAGGCATTGTCAAATATCTTGTTATTATCAAAATTCAATATGAAGTTACTTTAGATCTGTGAAATGTTATGAAGGACTTTGGTATAATTTAGAGAATAAAAGCCACTGTTTTGCCTCATATATTTTCCTGAATTTAACTTATTAATATGTTAAGGTAGGGTACAGCCTCATAAATAAGTAGATCTATCAAATTATTTAAATGTGCTGGATCTTGTTTATATTAATATGAGATAAAGCTAAGAAGCTTCTGAGGGCAAAAAAATTATCTATTGGGTCTTATTTGTTAGGACATTTTAGTAAAGTTGGAGGGAGACCAATGAATGGTATCCTCACAACACAGTCCTCTTCTGCTCTCTTTTCCAGTAAAGAAGTCTGCCAAGCTACAGATATCATCATGTGTCCTGTGTGCGATAAGTACTGTCCATTCATGAGGCTGTCAGACAGCTGTGTCTATGCCAAGGTATTTTATTTCAGCAGCGTGTTAAGTGGATTGCATTTAACTTAACATGCACCTTCCTGAGGTTCCTGGATGGCCGTGTCCTCTCTGCCCTTTCCAGCCTTTGACTCTCAAATGAACGTTACAGGATAGACTTGTCTCTATCATCTAGCATTCTAATGTGAAAATCTTTTCTCATGTCTATGTATTTAAAAGATAAGGCTCTAGGCGTCAACACAAGAAGCTGAAATGTGGCAACGTGATAAAAGCATTGGTTAGAAAAAGTTCAAATTTTTTTGTTATTTAGAGTGATTTTTTTTATTATTACTATTGACATGTCAGGCAGTGATACAGGTTGGGTTAATAAGTTCAGTGGCAATCAATGTGGTTTTGCCCTTTGTATATAGAAAGATCTACATACGTTATCTTTCACATTTTAAAATGTCAATGTGAGCTGGGTGTGTAGGTTTCACCAGATTGCCAAAGCAGAAAAAAAGACTAGAGTCTCCAAGTCTCCACTGCAGCATTCTGTAACTAATCTGAGGCTCTGCATACATGTGTTATGTATGCTGGAGACACCTGTTTTATGTAGGTTTAAGTTTTGACTGTTTGTTACCACTTAGCTGTCTGGATGCAGGTTAGTCATCTCTGTGAGCCTCAGTTTTGTCATTTGTAATAATGACAATAATTCAGATGAAATATACATTGAGCAAAGTATTTAGCCATAGTGAAGTCCCAGGAAATCACATCCACCATGATTCTCCCTCTCTCATTTATCATTGTTGCCAACAAGACCTCCAGAAGTCCAGATTAGCTTAGCTCCTCACTTACTGAGTGCTGCTCACTTATATCTTTTCTGAGAGTGAATTTTCCAGTTTTTAAAATACAGGCAGTGTTACCAGCAAAGCGCAGTTGGTTCTCTCCTCAACTTACTGTAGAAATAAAAAGCCAGGAGTCTGTTGCAGACAGAGAAGTTTTATTCGTGAAGTGATGCTGAAGATGGACGTTGAAAGGAGAGGAATAGGGAAAGAACCTCCTGCAAGAGGGCCAGGAGATGGGATGCCTTTTGAAAGGAGAGTGGGTGAGACACTGAAATTTCAGGATGTGTCCCAGGTTTTTTTAAGCATTCCTTGACTCCTTCTGGTCTGGGTGGAAACCTGCAAGAAGACATTCCCTATTGGTGGCCTATCAACCAATTAGGAATGCCTGTGCAATTCGAGTGTCACATGCTTCAAGATGTGGCCAAGATTTTAGCCGGTTTGAATGGTCTCAGATAACAGGGCAGGGATTTGAAGCGGCAGTTAAGATGCCTCTTGGGATGCTTGTATCCAATGTCTAAATCGTGGGTTTGAGTCCCGGCTCTGCTTCCAGTTCTAGCTTCCTGGTAATGTGTATCCTGGGAGACAGCAAATAAAGATTCAGGTACTGGGTTTGCTGGCACCCACATGGGAATCCCCGATTGCACGACAGCCTCCCAGCCTCAGCCTCAGCCTGGCCTACCTCTGGCTGTTGCACACGTACTAGGAAATGAATCAGCAGATCTCTCTTTTCTTTATAAATAAAATGAAAAGAAATATTTTTATAAGTCTAAATTTAGGGGATATGTCTTCTCTCCTCCACATCCCACTGTCATGGCATGAAGATCAAACAAGACAGTAGAAGTATTTTTTCAAAATAGACATAACACAAATGACTTTTGAATGCCCTTTATTATGGTGTGCTTTACTTTATTAAACTATTAGGTATATTCATTGGATTGCTGGAGCTGATTTTACTAAGCAGGGGCAGTGTCACTAATACAAAACAAGAGCTGGGATAGGGCTGATGAACCCATAGCCTATTGATTTACCCACACTCTACAATTAAAGGAGCTGGCAAATTTTATTCAATCTCTGTCATTACTCAGCTGAGATGTCTCTTCTTTCTCTGCGGGCATTGTGGAGTTTATTCACTTTGGATTACAGAACACTTACTAGGCAGCTGGAGAACCATCCGTTCATCCAGCATGTGTTTAGTACCCCAGGTGGCCTGTCTTTCTGGGAGCAGCCCAAAGCACAGCACTCATCTGTGATTTTGCAAAGATTTAGACTCTTACTATGTTCTGCTGGGACCCAGAAAAGGACAAAATGTTCTCCCTATCTTTGGAGAGAACACAGATAGAACCAAGTGGATGAAGACTAATCTAGCAAGGTGACCTTAAAAAATACAGAGTTGATGATGATCTATTTTTCTCAGTAATTTTATTTAAAATCATGGGTTAAGGCTGGATGACTACAGCTTTAAAATCTTACTTTTAAAGATCTGAAATAGAAGCCAATTTTGTGTAGGGGGTTACATTCTCTATTTTGTTTTCAGGTAAAAAGATACAGTGAATTATCAAGGAGATGATTTATTAGAAGGATCATCATGAATAGGTCAGAGTGTTCAGTTTTATCAGGGTTGCTTAAGTTCTAAAATAATAAGTTACAACCAGGAAAAAGTCACTGTAATAGCTGGACAACATGTGTTTTTAACTTCTGGTTCTCACAACAACTTCAAGGTAGTTGGGATTATTCCTACTTTTGCTTGGAGAAGTATAAGTCATTCATGGTTACACAGCACTTTTTGGTTTATCCCGGTGTAATTCTTGACCATGATACCACACTAAGGGATGCAATGTTTAGATTCTAAATTTAATGTTAGGATCTTGCTGGGAAACTTAATGAAGTAAAAGCCTAAAAGCCTCAGAATGACAGGACTAGAGTTACACAGAATTTCCTTTAGAAATGCTAGTTATGGTCCAAGTGATTTCCTGGCCCTGGAGGGACACAGATGCATTCAATCCAACAGGAGCTCAGATGTGACCCATCAGCACCTATTCTGCCGATCGGGGATATTTATCCTGTACCCTTACATTTGCAAGAGAAACCCAACTCTAACTGGCTTCAAATGAGAGACATTTACAGGAGGCAACTCACACTTTCTGAACATGAGAGCTTCACAACCTAAAACTGTGCCTGCAAGCTAGCAGGAGGCAGTGCCCACCTGTCGACATGATCATCTCGACACAGGCTGTCTGCACTAGAGGGAGATCCCATGACCTTACCCCTCCTGATTTCACTTTCTCCAAAATTGATAATTAGAGCAGAAAACATTCTCTTCCCAAAGTGTTTCATGTAAGTCCCAGGGAAGTGCTCTGATTGGTTCTGTTTTGAGCCATGTGCCCCTTGGGATCATCAAGAGAGAGAGAAAGAGAGAGAGAGAAAGAGAGAGAATGAGTCTGTTCCCCAGAGAAGGGAGAATGGAGAAAAGATGACCTGGGCAGCCAAAAAAATAAAAGCAAGCTCAATCTATTTCAGATAAGATCCTGATAGTGCAAGCTACAACTGCTATCATCTCCCAGTAAACACCCAGAGAATGTGTGTGTACAGACCAAGTGCATAACCACTGGGGCTTTCAGACTTGCTTTAATGTTGGGTATCAACACACTCTTACAGCATTTGCTTCCTCTGGACTAAGAGATAGATAGGATATAGGCATTTGTCTCACCTCACATTCTTTTGAAGGCTACCGGTATCTCCTGTATGCAAAGAGAGCTTTTAGAAGAAACTAAAATAATTCACACTGTGATATAACAGCAAAAAACCTGTTTATACCTTACATGTTCTCCAAAGGACAATAAAGTCTACTTTTAGGGAACTATAAAATACAAACAAAAAAGTTGTGCTTTATGAAACTACCAGACATCATTTCAGTTTGGCACAGACATTCGTGAGATTTATAGTGGAGGCGGAAACGAGCTTGACAGTTTGGCAGTGAGGCTAGACATTTTTGCTTTTTGCTGTGATGTTTGCAATGGAATATATTATCCTAGAGACAAAATATTGCTGGCTGTCTTTGTGTTACGTTCAGCAGGTAAATATAGTGATTACCTGAGGCTTTGGCAAAGGTGGGAGTGGGCTTAATTCACATTTCTGCTCTTGCATCTGTATGATATAGGCATACAGAGAATATCCCACAAGTGCTTGCTCAATACTATACACAAAAATAGCTGTGTTTTCCAAGTGAACAAGTGAAGCCTTGAGAATCATCCTTGGGGAGTTGGAAACCTTTCAAGGAACAACTGTAATACCCCTCTGAACTAAATATAGCCACCTGTATATTCCTTCAATATGTATATGGGTAAAAAATTTGAAATTTATAAAAGGGAATGTTTAGTAGCACAACTATGGCTGCAAATAAATATCCAAATATGATAATTACCTAAAGAGAACAAATTCTTCTTTTCTATATCTGCACCATTTCTAAGTTAGAGGAAATCCCTTTTTATAATCCAAAAGCAATATCTCCCCCTTGGAAAAACTTTGTAAAACTCATGGTCTCATCACAACTCTTTTCATAGAACCATTTAAAATGTGAGTTAATATATTATAACTGAGAAAGTGGCATAACATGGATGCATGTTGTTCCCAGGTGACCCACCTTTTTGACAACGGAGCCACTGTCTTCTTTGCGGTTTTCATGGCAGTCTGGGGTAAGTGTCCTTCCACCGCAAAACCCAAGTTCTCCCCGTGTGCTCCATTGTGTTACCTTTGGGTGGGAAAAGGGGAGCTTGAGTAAGTGGAATTCATTTTTCTGTGAGCAACAAGGTAGTGAGTCATTTATTTGGTTTATCTTAGAAGTGTGAGAGAAATACGTCTGATTTCTCTTAAATCTTCAGCAGCTTCATCAGTATTTCATTACTAAAGTCACCTTCACCTTCTGCCAAAGAGAAAAAAAAAAAGCTTAGAGCTCAGCAGCTCTTCAGTCGGGGGAAAAACAGGATTCCATCTCAGGATGTGCAGGACTTGCTGTTGTGAGTGGCTGGTGTATGAAAACGGCAAGCTTTTTTCCAACTCTGCACATAATGACATCCTATAGACAAAAGTTGTTCTGGGGGCTGAATTGAGTCTACCCATACCTGTTCAGGCTGTTCAGGGTCTTTGGAAGGAGCAGGACTTGGTTGAAATCTCAATTTCTCCACATACTAAACTGTGTAGTTTGGAGAAAGTTACAAGAAACACTCTGTAATACAATAAATATAATAACACCTCATAGTCAAATAATTATCAAGCTTTAATTCAATGCTACAATAAGACAGATTCATAGTAAACAGTTCATTTTGCTTATCTCTGAAAAGGAGACCTTGTGGAATAGTAAGCAAACAGTGATGGGAAACAAACTCAAATTGCTATACATTTTCAGTTTGATTTGAAATGCTTATCATTATGACACATTTATCCTATAACTTAAAAATGCCAAAATCTGAATTTTGATGTTTACAAAGCTGTAGTAACTTTGGCTCATCTTGTCCCTTGCGTCTGGAATTGGATTATTATTCCAAGCCCAGCTTAGATGTCATCTGCTCTGGCCAGGAGATGTCTTCCTCCTCTGAACTTCCATAGCACCCAGTTTTTATAGGACACTTGTACGCACAACTTTCGCATGCACAACTTTTCTTGCCTGGAGGTATGTGGTCGTTGAGGATGGTTATGGCCAAAGCAGAGCTCATGAGCTTCTTTGGGAAATTGAATGATTCAGTACTTATCTGTTGGCTGGGTGGATGGAGGAAAAAAAAAGAAGCAGGAGAATGAGAAAGTTACCAAAGGATTTCTTTGTGATATAATGAGTGCATTTCAATGGCTTTTTTTTGTTGTTGTTGAAAAGCAGAAATATAAACTCTTGTTCTCTTGAGGAGGCTTACTCTCAAAATGCTGTGCCTCTCTGTAAAGATCATCGAAGGAAGGTTGTCCTACCCACCACAACTCTGTGGAGGGATATGTTTTGAGCTCTATGAATTCAGCCCCTCTAATCTAAAAGTGTTTGATCTAAGCTCAGTCAAATCAATAGCTCAAGAGTGGCCTGGGCTTGAAGTTCTTCCACAACTGAAAAAAAAATAGTAATGTTCTTATTATTAAAAAATGAGGACCAGGAACTGTGGGGAGAGATTGAGGGTAAGCCACAGAAACTGACTTTGAAAAATGTGTAGAATGTGGACTGCAGCAAGTGAGAGAGATTGAGATTCGCCACCAGGTAGAAATAGGGACCATGAGGAATTCGGAATTGATGAGAACCAGAACCTGTGTATAAGCAAAAGGAATGAGCTAATCAAAAATGCATGAAAGAGAGTGAAAAGGCCAACTGAGAGGAAATGCAAGACCACCTCCCAAAGCAGAGAGAAAGGAAGGAAAGCAAATCACGTTATGTTCATGTTGTATCAGGATCAAGACCCCTGTTTTCTTGTGGCTGAGGTCTCACAAATAGATGCCTTCCATATTCAACTCTGCATAAGCTCAGTCTTGATTCCTATTCATGTCTCCCTTGGTGTGCATTGTAAAAAGCTCTACTTGCGCTACCATTAATATATATCCCTTGCAAAGAACATTAACTATATCAGTTTTGGTTATAGGACTGAGAGGACTGAGCTCTGATCGAGGGTGTGTATCCAGGTTGTTACTATCGGTAACCATAATTATGTAATGTAGTAAGCCATTCAGTACTTAAGTTTTGCCATGGTTATAAATGAGGGGACTTTGGGAAACAGATTCCTTTCTTACCTCAGTGGTTCCCCGATTTTTTCAGGATAAGACACACATAGGAAATGAATATATTTGCAAAGCATATGATGTCCATGGAAGAACCTGCTCATCACCAGTGAGAGAACTACCCTAGGCACCCTAACCCACCAGTACCAAGAGCTTCAGGAGTTAGTAGTAAAAGTTGAAGCCCTTAAAATATCATCCGTAAGCTCTACCTTGGGCACCTGTTATGTACTGAGTTTGTGATTCCATATAGAAACCTCCTGTTGGTGTTCTGCAATAATTAAAACACAAAACTCCCTTACTTACTTCAGGATTCCACCCTTTTCACATGCATGTTTGTTGTAGGGTAGACCTTTGGCTAGAATGCTTCCAAATTTCTATCTCCACTCAAGAAAGCATTCAAGGAAGAAACAGAAGCGAGCAGGAAAGCAAGATTATATTTAAGACAAAGGGAAGTACACATTCAGGAAAGAGTGCTGACAATGTGAGAGTCAGACCACAATTGACTAGGATCTTCCTTTGTTGAAAGCACAGGAAATAGTGTCTGAATATTCTGACTAGATAGAGTTTCAGTGGGGTTTGGATTCTAACCATTTCCATGCCTCCTGCCATGAAGTCAGGTGCTTGATAGGCACAAGATTCAGGTGCAGGATGGAAATGATTGTGATGATCATGGTAATTTCATTATTATTTCATATCATCATAGCTACATTGAATAATTCCAGTTAGCTCCAGCTCTTAGGCAGCAAATCCCCCAGCAGTTGCAGTTGGCATGGATGGGAGTAGGGCTTTGTTGCTGTACTGGGGGCTACAGCACTCATGCTAACAATCCCAAGTTGCTTGCTACCTTCCTATTTACATCACTTTGACCGAAGTGATGATTCTTTCTTCTGCGGTTTTTACTCCCTGAGACTGTGAGCAAAAAAAAATTGTAATTGTAACATTTGTCTAAGTGGTAGAAGTTGTCATTTCTACCCTAGAACCAGCACTTAAAAGGGGGTTTGCATCTCTTCTGTGCAAGTCAGAATGTTTCATGCCATGGATGACAAACGGTTTTTATTTTATCCTCTTGCTAACCTTAGCCTAGAGCATAGAGTTGAGAAGCTTTTCAGCTTGCATGTGGGTGGATTGGTAATTTGACAGCTCTTGTGCTTCGGAATATACTGGTAGGATTTTGATGGATATTCTGTAATAAATGCTAAGCATAAGGGAACATTTTAGGACTACTCCAGGCAAGGCAAGCCTGGTATTATTCACCCTCTGAATTGTTCTATTTTAGTTGACAGTTTATTGCTTAAATCCCATATTATTCGCTAAAATGTGCTAGTTTGGGAAAAAGAATGATTTAGATAAGGATATGTGTTTTTGCAGAAATCTGAAATATGCAGTAATGTTATTGATAACTTACCATGCCTTGAACTCTCTAAGCATTGCACATGTATCTTAATTTCTATGGCAAATTTTAAGGAAAATAGTGTTTTCTTCACATGCTTAGTGATGAAACTTAGGCAATACCTGGAGAGGGGCAAAGTCAAGAGTTAAAATAGGGGCCAGTAGTTCGCCTGCTTACTGCTAGAATCAGGTAACCACTTCTGCTTTGAATATCTGAACTTGAAGTTAAAGGAATTATTATGCTCCTTCTGAGTCCTATTTATACTACTTTGAGGTGGTGGTGTTCTGCAAAAGCACGTCAATTCTAATGGAACTCAGTTTAATGGTCTCAGAATCATCTCATGATTGGCAAGTTACCACATTTATCAAAACAAAGGCACTCTATTTGCAGGAAATTGCTAGATATGGCGATGGTAAGAACAGATGTAAATGGTGTGTGAGGCTTCCAAGGGACAGTGTTGATGTGCTGTTTTGTTGCCTTTTGCTTTTGTGTGTTCGTCAGAAAAGCGACACGGCTTCATTTGGAACGAGCTTGTGGTATCTGGGAGGGCCTTTGTGCTAGGCTGCAAATCTTGACAGCACTTGCTTTGCTTTGTTCGTTTTCATATGTGTGTGTGAGAGCGATAGCAGGGCTCCCTGGGATACATGTGGGCTTCAGGCTTTGGACTTGAACTTCTGTGTGCCTCTTTCCTCAGTGCTCATTTTGTTCAGAAAGATTCAAGCGACAGAATAATTATGGACAAAATTAACTTCTCTCCTTGCGGGGAAAAAAAATGAATCATTGGGGAGCTAGATGTTGGCAGAAATCTGTCAGGAAGCCGAGTATTTCCCTCTGTTCTTTGTTTCTGGTTTCTTTCTCTTTTTCCCCCCTCTTCCCTTCTTGTTTTTTTTTTTGTTTGTTTGTTTGTTTGTTTCTACTTCCAATGCTGCCAAAAATTAAATTATCCCCAGTAAGCAAACAAAGACCTCAGAGCTCTGCAATCAAAATGACAAAACTGGAATTGTTTTTGAGTGCGAATTTTGGTGATTCTCTATGATCTATTACTGTGAGGCAGTTTCACATAATTGGCAAATTATGTCGCATTTAAAAAATAAAGTTGATAATAATTGGGTTTTTCTTCTTAGATATTTGTCATTTTTCGTACAGACTTATCATTGTAGCCAAAATGTACTGATTCTTTCCTACACAAAATGAAGAGGTATAAATTTAAATGTCTATTATGTGTGTGCATCACATATGATACTGCATCAATTTCTCCCCACCTATCAGAAAGAAATTATTACCCCATTGTATAGATAAGATTACAATCCTTATTTTATATTGAGATCCATAGAAGTCATACAACTTGTCCAAGATGACGCAGTCATGAAAAGTGATTAAATCTGGGTTGTTGTGGGATTTTTAAACATTGATTTACTTGAAAGCAGAGTAATAAAGAGAGAGCGCTAACTTTTGGTTCACTCCCCAAATGACCACAGTGGCCAGAGCTGGACCAGGTTGATACCAGTAGCCTGTAATTTCCTCTGGGTCTCCAGTCAGGTGATAGAGGCCCATTTTCAG